GCTGCGGCTGCTGTGGCTGCTGCTGCGGCTGCTGCGGCTGCGGCTGCTGCTGCTGCGGCTGCTGCTGCTGTTGCTGCGGCTGCTGCTGTGATGACGATGGCGTTTTACGATGAAGACAATGATGATGGTGATGATGGTGATGATGGTGAAGCCGGTGATGGCGGCGATGATGGTGCCGTTTTACGATGAGGATGGTGATGATGGTGATGACGGTGATGACGGTGATGGCGGCGATGATGGTGGCGTTTTACAATCAAGACAATGACGATGGTGATGATGGTGGCGTTTTACGATGAAGACAATGATGATGGTGATGATGGTGATGACGGTGGCGTTTTACGATGAAGACAATGATGATGGTGATGATGATGGTGATGATGATGGTGTTGAAGGAGATGATGGTGGCGTTTTACGATAAAGACAATGATGATGGTGATGATGGTGATGGCGGTGATGATGGTGATGACGTAGATGATGGTGGCGTTTTACGATGAAGACAATGATGATGGTGATGGTTGTGATGACGACGACAATGGCGACCATTCAGACTGCAAGATACTGCATATTTAATGCATAGTGCATACCTTCATATATTAACGTAAGATTCTTACACTTCTTAGGGCTCAAAGAGACCCCACACGGACTAACATAGGACCTATAGAAGAACGCAAGATCCACAGACTCAGAGGTCCCATAGACTTACACAGAAGCCATAGACACACAGAACCCATAGACTTACACAACATCCATAGACTCAGAGGTCCCATAGACTCGCACAGAGACCCATAGACTCGCACAGAGACCCATAGACTCGCACAGAGACCCATAGACTCGCACAGAGACCCATAGACTCGCACAGAGACCCATAGACTCACACAGGTCCCATAGACTCACACAGAGACCCATAGACTCACACAGAGACCCATAGACTCGCACAGAGACCCATAGACTCGCACAGAGACCCATAGACTCACACAGAGACCCATAGACTCGCACAGAGACCCATAGACTCGCACAGAGACCCATAGACTCGCACAGAGACCCATAGACTCGCACAGAGACCCATAGACTCGCACAGAGACCCATAGACTCGCACAGAGACCCATAGACTCGCACAGAGACCCATAGACTCACACAGGTCCCATAGACTCACACAGAGACCCATAGACTCACACAGAACCCATAGACTCACACAGAGACCCATAGACTCGCACAGAGACCCATAGACTTGCACAGAACGCATAGACTCACACAGAGACCCATAGACTCACACAGAGACCCATAGACTCACACAGAGACCCATAGACTTGCACAGGTCCCATAGACTTACATGTGACCCAACAGGGCTCACATTAAAAGAGATTAAGTTGCCACATGCGAGAGCGAGAGTGATACTGGACGTGCCGTGCCACTGAAATTAAGCCTTGGCCAGTGGTGACGATCACGGTGACGATGGTGACGGCGATCGTGGTGACGGTGACGATGATTACGATGACGGCGATCGTGGTGACGACCATCACGGTGACGACAATCACTACGTCGTCGTCACGGTGACCACGATCACAGTGACGACGACGACGATCGTGGTGACGGTGACGATGATTACGTTGACGGCGATCGTGGTGACGACCATCACGGTGACGACAATCATTACGTTGTTGTCACGGTGACCATGATCACAGTGACGACGACGACGACGATCGTCGTGACGGTGACGATGATTACGTTGACGGCAATCGCGGTGACGACACTCATTACGTCGTTGTCACGGTGACCACGATCACGGTGACGATGGTGACGACCATCACGGTGACGACCGTCACTACGTCGTCGTCACGGTGACCACGATCACGGTGACGATGGTAACGACGATCGTGGTGACGGTGACCACGATCACGTTGACAACAATCATGACGTCGTCGTCACGGTGACCACGATCACGGTGACGGTGACCACGATCACAGCGACGACAATCGCGACGACAGTGACGACAGTGACGACAGTGACGACAGCGACGACAGCGACGACAGCGACGACAGTGACGACGACGACAGTGACGACGACAGCGACGACAGCGACATCGATCAGGGCGACCCCTCCGGCTGCACGGGCAGCACCACGGTGGCGACGCGGCTCCACAGCCCCGCAAACTTGTCCAGGTCGAGCCTCGGCCCCACCAGCGCCCGCCGCAGCGACGCGTAAACCCGGTCCGAAAAATCCCGCAGGGCCCGGCAGCTACCCTCGCCGGCCTCCCCGCCGTCGCCACGGCCACCGTCGTCACGGCCACCGTCGCCACGGCCACCGTCGCCGTCGCCACGGCGATCGTCGTGGTCGAGCAGCACCGTGAAGACGAGGAGAGCGCGCTTGAACTTGGCCGTCTCGTGGTCGCAGTACGCGTACAGCATGAGCGTCGACGCCGGCGGCAGCCGCTCCAGCCGCTCCAGCGCGACGGCGGCACCGGCGCCGGCGTCGGCTCCGCCCAGCGCCGACTGCAGCCGCGCGTCCAACTCCAGCTTGGCGTCGTCGCCCGACATCCCCGACAGTTCCACGCCGCTCAGCGTCACCGTCGCCCGCCCCCCGACGCCATCGCCGCCGCCGTCGTCCGACGCGGCGGCGGCGGCGGCGTCTCCGTAGGCCGCGGCCAGGTCGGCCGCCAGCCCCTCGGCGGCGCCGAGACCCCGGGGGCCCGACGCCAGCAGCAGCGTCGCCGGCTGGCTCGGCGTGCCGGGGTCGCCGTCGGCCAGCGCGGCAAGGTGGCGCCGCAGCGTGATGTTGACGCGGCGCCACAGCTCGTCGCACTGCGAGGGGTGGCGCCGGCGGGCGGCTTCCAGGCGCTCGCCGAACACCGCCGAGTAGAGAGGCTCCGGCGCGTCGCCGGGGAGCCCGGCGGGCCCCGGCGACCCGCGGCCGCGGCCGGCTCCTGCGGACCACCACCACGCCGCCAACGCCGCCAAGGTCAGGCCCGCCAGCAGTAGCAGCAGCAGCAGCGGCAGCGGCGGCGGCGACGGACGGTCCCTGCCGCCGATAGTGGCCTCCTTGGCGGCCGATGGCCCTGGGAGGGGGGTGCGGAGAGGATGCAGGAGGAATCCGATGAGCTGGAAAGCTCTTGTTCACACGTGTCCAGTAGGTGGACGGGGGTGTGGGGAAATGGGGGGCACAGCGCACGCGGTGGACCAGACTCGCACACAGAAACCCACAGACTCACCACGCAGAGACCCACAGACTCACACACAGAGACCCACAGACTCACCACGCAGAGACCCACAGACTCACCACGCAGAGACCCACAGACTCACCACGCAGAGACCCACAGACTCACACACAGAGACCCACAGACTCACCACGCAGAGACCCACAGACTCACACACATAGACCCACAGACTCACCACACAAAGACCCACAGACTCGCACACACAGAGACCCACAGACTCGCACACACAGAGACCCACAGACTCGCACACACAGAGACCCACAGACTTACTCACACAGAGACCCACAGACTCACTCACACAGAGACCCACAGACTCACTCACACAGAGACCCACAGACTCACACACACAGAGATCCACAGACTCACCACACAGAGACACAAAGACTCACACACACAGAGACCCACAGACTCGCACACACAGAGACCCACAGACTCACCACACAGAGACCCACAGACTCACCACACAGAGACTCACCACACAGAGACCCACAGACTCACCACAGAGACCCACAGACTCGCACACAGAGACCCACAGACTCGCCACACAGAGATCCATAGACTCACCACACAGAGACCCACAGACTCACCACACAGAGACCCACAAACTCACCACACAGAGACCCACAGACTCACACACACAGAGATCCACAGAATCTCCACACAGAGACCCATAGACTCATCACACAGAGACCCACAGACTCACCACACAGAGACCCACAGACTCACCACACAGAGACCCACAGACTCACTACACAGAGACCCACAAACTCACCACACAGAGACCCACAGACTCACCACACAGAGACCCACAGACTCACCACACAGAGACCCACAGACTCACACACACAGAGACCCACAGACTCACACACACAGAGATCCACAGACTCTCCACACAGAGACCCACAGACTCGCACACACAGAGACCCACAGACTCACCACACACAGAGACCCACAGACTCACCACACAGAGACCCACAGACTCACCACACAGAGACCCACAGACTCACCACACAGAGACCCACAGACTCGCTCACACAGAGACCCACAGACTCGCTCACACAGAGACCCACAGACTCGCACACACAGAGACCCACAAACTCACACACACAGAGACCCACAGACTCACCACACAGAGACCCACAGACTCACCACACAGAGACCCACAGACTCACTCACACAAAGACCCACAAACTCGCACACCCAAAGACCCACAGACTCGCACACACAGAAACCCACAGACTCACCACACAGAGACCCACAGACTCACACACACAAGACACCCACAGACTCACTCACACAAAGAGACCCACAGACTCACACACACAAAGAGACCCACAGACTCGCACACACAGAGACCCACAGACTCGCACACACAGAGACCCACAGACTCGCACACACAGAGACCCACAGACTCACACACACAGAGACCCACACAAAGACCCACAGACTCGCACACACAGAGACCCACAGACTCGCACACACAGAGACCCACAGACTCACCACACAAAGACCCACAAACTCACACACACAGAGACCCACAGACTCACACACACAGAGACCCACAGACTCACACACACAGAGACCCACAGACTCGCACACACAGAGACCCACACGACGCTAGGGAGACCCGACTGAACTCGGCAGGCATCGTCACGACCAAAATCCCCGAGGTTTGGCAAACACCACCGCCCCTAACCGCACCACCCCCCCCCCCCCCCCCCGACAACGCTTGCACTCACTGCGACCGGTGGCCTGGTAGCTGTGTGTGTGCTGCTGCTGCTGCCATTGCTGCTGCCGTTGCTGCTGCTGCTGCCGTTGCTGCTGCCGTTGCTGCCGCCTCCTGCGCCCACCATCAAATTCCGTCGACTGCACGTTGCGTTTGTCGTCCAAGAGGGTGTCCTTGTAGCAGGAGCCTGGCGCCGAGGGTTGGGGGGGGGGGGTGCGGCAAATTCGTAACCACGACCGTCGGCTTACGACGTCAACATCGGCGAAACGTCACCGGGAGGTTTTCTTTCGTTGGGTTCGATGGCGTCAAAGGAGACCGAAACGGGGGCAAGTGCTGTTAGTGAGCGGCAGCACCAATGAAGGCCGGCACGGCACGCGAGAGGGGGCGGGTGGCCAGCCCCATGCCCGGCCGCCTTTGTCTCCCTCATGGCGATGTTCACACACCGCACCAGCTACTCATTTGAGGCCGGGTCAACCTAGGGGAGGGACCCAGGTCGGCCTCGGAAAAATCGTCACCGGTGTTGGTCGCGAGCGGGGAAATCGAACTCGTTGTTTGACTTTGACTCGCATCCCACTGGGATTTTTGCACACAGTGTTGGTGTGCGGTGATTTTTCTGCAATATTTTGCTGTCTTTTCTTGGATTTTCTGTTTGCACTCAGTCACTATAAGATGTATTCTTGTTCATGTTTTTGTTTTTTGTTTGTTGCGGTTGCACCCGATTCAAGAGCCGAATGGCTCACAGGGCTACACCTAATACATGAACTTGGACTTGGGTCGCCGGGTTCATAGCACCACCACCACCACCACTAACACCACCACCACTAAATCGGCGCGCGACCACCACCATCACCACTAACACCACCACTACTAAATCAGCGCGCGACCACCACCACCACCACTAAC